GCGACTGCTCGTTTTACGAACGCTTAAAAGTTTATAGGCGGCAGTAAACGGCCGCATTTACCTTTATTTCGCCGGTTCCCGGTCGGGCGAACGACTCGTTTCTAAAGGGCCATCCCGAGGCCTTTTTATTCTCTCTTCCGAATGCTTGTCTCTTCATTCACTTTTGTAGACCGTTATAGCGCTTCTCGTAATATGAGACGTCAGTAGATTTGTCTTTGAGGCGGGTTTTTACTGCTCCACTGCGAACGAGAAATAAACTAGAAATCGCTAAATACGTAATTACTGTCGTGCACGGTTGCTGAAGATGTTATCGACGTATGGTAAGAGTTCTAGTGTGGAAGTTTTGATGGAAGTTTATGGGAGTGTAATTTCGTCAACATTAGAAAGTGAAATAGTGTGATTCCGTGATACTGAATGAAATAAATCTAGTGTGGTGTGAAATTTATGTAAGGAGGAAGTGATACAATTCATAAATATCATATGTGTAGTTATAAACTTATAAAAACATGAGATTCTAACCTATTTCATCTTTGTCGACAGAGAATGACAGATTATGAAAGATGAAATGAAAATTAGAATACATTTGGCATTTAAAATTATATATTTGATTATAGAAAGATCTTCAAAAAAGATTTCTTAATAATGAGAAAAGCTCGAACATATAAATGCTATTCTTAAGCGTTACATGTGATTCCAATTAAATGTCACTAACAATAAGTATAAATCTTATGTTATTTTATCTTCTAATATTTTATTTTAAATTATATATCTAGCATCATATGTTTCTCATTACAAAACAAATAAAGTTTATTTTAAATTTTCCAGGTACTCAGATAATCGATCATTTGAATCTGCGAATTGGTAATTTTTTAATAAATGAAATATTAATATAATCTTAAACCAATTAGATACATGTTATAAGATTTAAAAAACTAAGATCATAAAATTATTGTGAATCATTATGTATTAAATAATGCTTGTCTTGTGTTAGATATTATTGTGATAATAAGGTTATGTTTTAGTATAACGAACAAGTATTCACATAGATCAATCACAATTTACCTTTAGTTATTCAAAAACATAAAATTTCTTATTTTTAGGCAGACATGTAAATCACGACGTCTAAACACAGCGTTTAAGGACAAGGCCACAAACAATCGAATCACCGTTGAACGACGTGAATTATTGGCGCAGTTGGGGTACACCGTGGCCTGGAATGATCTACGACGATCGTAAAACCTGCTCGATCGTAAATCGTCGCGATGCATTCTAAAGCCGTCACATAACGATAGTAATGACCGATACGAACGATCGAGCGTCGATCGCTGTGATTTCCATTCAAAATTCGCTTATACATTCATACGAACGACACAATGAACATGGAACAAGTAGCTATGCCAATCGAACGGTGATCTCATCGATGAATCACGATCCTCGATCATTGCTTTTCCTTTCTGCTTTCGTTTTAAACCGAGTTAGCTGTCGGCAGCCACAGTTGTCTGCTCGCTGTTTATACGTTTAAATGTTATTGCTCGTAAAAACGACACATTACGTAGCTGTTTGTTCTTTTTCAAGTATCTTGAATGGAATTTTATCCGCTTCACCGGTGGCAAAGATTTTTATTTTTTTTATTTTTTTTGAATTGAAACGATAAAATTGTATATGAAAGATAGGTTAGATAATTGATATTTAAAATTGTCTAAATAATGATAATATATACTTTCGATATTTCTAATGAAATTTAATTTTTTATTGGCATTTTATATTATTTCTTGAATAGCAATTTAATCGTTAATTTTTTAAATTATTATTTCAATTTTTATTAATTTATTGATAAAGTTAAAAGGATTGTTATTAAATATTGAAGAACTTTATCTCAATGCCTAATTAATGTTTACATTCCAATAAATTAAATTTTTTATTTCTTCATTATCTAAAGAGTAAATACACGTTCCCTTTATCATTTATCTTTTCGATTTTTATTTTTTTTATTTTTTTTGAATTGAAACGATAAAATTGTATATGAAAGATAGGTTAGATAATTGATATTTAAAATTGTCTAAATAATGATAATATATACTTTCGATATTTCTAATGAAATTTAATTTTTTATTGGCATTTTATATTATTTCTTGAATAGCAATTTAATCGTTAATTTTTTAAATTATTATTTCAATTTTTATTAATTTATTGATAAAGTTAAAAGGATTGTTATTAAATATTGAAGAATTTTATCTCAATGCCTAATTAATGTTTACATTCCAATAGATT